AGTCAATAATCATGCAGATTTATGTTACAAACTTATAGAATTGTACAGTAAGAAAGTTATTTCCTTTAACCAGGAAATTAACGTTCTTAGAATTGACAAGACGGTTGACCCTGAGTGGTCAGCTAAATATCTACAGTGGATCTAAAATATGAATAGTTAATTATAACTAGTTATGGTTAATTATTCATATTTCCCCATGAGCTGATCCGCTACAACGTTAATAAAACAAAATTATCTAGCATATTTACAGATGAAGCTGACCTGCACTTGGAGCCCAGAAGTAAAGCGGCCAGTCAGGACTAACCGATTTATTATTTATTATCGATTTATTAGCGAATTAAAAATCGGAAATTATCACTTTGGTACATTGAGAAGGCATAAATATAAAATATTATTAATAATAATAATAACTTTAAAAAAACAACAACAACAACAACAACAGGGCAGTGGGCCAAATCATCCGCCAGGCCGGTGCTCCCGATGGCCAGTCCGGGCCTGGTTTAAAACGACATGAGGGTGAGTAAATGTCGGAATTTTCATTTTTGGGTGAACTATTCCTTTAAGTGGAAAAGAGTGAAATGTCCCTTTAAACTCAGGACAGAGGGAGGGAGGATAAGAAAGTCGTCACGCTGTTTGTATAGGAAGTATTGGAATGACCTGACAGGCTGATGCACTTCCCTTTTGGTCGACTCTCTCTTGTGAGACAATGTGTAATCCCACGTTATTTTAGATCCAACCACAGATTGTGATTCACAGCCTTTAAATACATGGAGTTTATGACACTGAAGGAGAAGAGCGAAACGGAGCCTCGAAAGTTGCCGTCGATCTACCACAATTCAACTACTAGTGTTGACCACTGAAAAGCAATGTTAAAGCAGTATCAGCCTACAAATGCGTACTCTGCTGTTAGTGTTGTTTTGCACCGTTGCTCTGCAATGGGATCGTGTCAGCTGCCAGAAATCTGTTTACGTGTCCAACACACAGCTGGTACCTCATGGGAATGTCTGGCGTTCAGACAGACCTGGAGAAGTTACACCGAACCGCAATGGAGACGAGGTGAGCTCTGAAATATATGATCAAGTAAAAAAGACGCTGTATGTGCATTATCTGTCATTAATGTTACATATACATTTTGCTCTTTTTTTTTCCTTACCATGAGTAAACTTTGTGTTATATAAATTCAGTGCGGTGTTGTCTGACTATTGGCATGGAATCCTGCACAGCTGCATTTGTTGATCTGTGTTGCAGTGTGATATGGTGATGAACCTGTCTGCCAGTCAGAGATGTGAGTTTGTGAAGAATACACCGGACTGTACTTCAGATGAAGGCTTCATCAAGTACCCTGTGGTCACCTTTTGCCTGTTCCCACCTAATCTGCTGCCTCTAGCCATCACACTCTATGTAAGGATACATTTAGTTCAGTCACCAAACTCCGGGTTTACTGTTTACATACCAGTAAATGTAAATGGTAATAAATAAAATGTGTTGTAAGTTTGTTTGTGGAGTGTGACATGTTTCTGTTTACATATCCAACTGAAACAAATGATAATGCATCATCCAGGATGTGTAATCTGATTTGATATTGGTTGTATTGGTTTTGTATGTTGTTAAAGTCACTCTCACGTTTTCTCTTTCCTTCCCTCTGTTCTTTTATTTCTGTCAGGTCATCTGGTTGTTTGCTCTGTTCCTTCTTCTTGGGCTGATTGCATCAGACTTGTGAGTGGTGAATTTGAGAGAATTACAAGGGTTATTAATCAGCTTGGACATGCTATTTGGTGGTCAGTTCTGTCTTAAAGTGATAGTTCACCCCAAAATAAAAATCTCATGCCGTTACAGACCTGCATTATTGACTTTCTAGTGTGTAACACAAACACACACACACACACACACAAACCCAGACCTTTTTGGTGACCATTTACTTCCATTGTAATAACAACAAAATGCTGAGGCATTTTTTTTTAAATATCTTCTTTTATGGTCCATCAGTCTACTCATATTTAGCAACATGCTTCACAAATTGTTGTATAATCAGAGCCTGAACGAATTAGGTGTAATCTAAAAGGTAAAAAGATGTGTAATTTTTACTTTTAAAGTAAATATGAATTGGTGTGTTCACATTGTATTCCAGTTGCACTATGCAGTTAAATTAATAATCAGGACTGTCATGCAATTAAAATTAGTAACTGATAAAAAAATAAAATAATAATAATTGCAGTACTTTAGAAACGTAAATATTCCTTTGTGATCTCATAACACTCTCAATAGAGCTGAGTCTTTTACCATGACCTAGGATTCACTTCTCTATTTACTCATGTGACAGAGACAATGTCTTTCATTTATCTGGAGAATTTAGAGTTGAGTCTCTTTATTTTAAAAATTTTCTGCTTTTTGAGGTTCAAGAAGTTAGTTAATTTGTCATTATGTTGCAAAATGTATTTCGATGTATTTAGAATTTGTTCTATAAAGAACAGAAATTTGAGTTTAAATGTATATGAATTATAATATGTAATGTAATTTAGATTTTATTGTATTTTATTTCAGTTTCTGTCCAAACCTCTCAGCCATTTCCTCCACACTGAGACTGACTCATAATGTGGCCGTATCCTTTAAATAGCTGAAATGTGGCTGGTCAGCTGATGCTTGTAATTTGTCCTCATATTGCATAGGTTGAGAAGGTTAATTACTCCTGCTGTGTCCTTATCAACCACATAAATGATAAACTCCTGAGTACTGGAGTGAAGAGAATATTACAGCATGCTAAACAACTAGACATATCAAATGGTTAGTCTGTTACTATGTCATAGTGTTAGCCAAGACTGTGTCATCCTGGGTAGAGTTTGTTTAACACTTGGGTACTCTTTGTGTTCTTAAAGGAATAGTTCACCTCAAAAATGAAAATTCTGTCATCGTTTACTCACCCTCATGTCATTCCAAACCTTTATAATTTCTTTCTTATGTTGAACACAAAAGAAGATATTTTGAACAATGCTGGCAATCAAACAATTGTTGGCCCCCATTGACTTCCATAGTAGGGAAAAAATACTATGGAAGTCAATGGGGGCCATCAACTGGGTGAACTATTCCTTGAAGTTTGTTCATGAGCGTGAAGATATTTATGAAATTAACAGCAGTGCTAATCTGATCACTGGGCAGAGATTAATAAGTGCTGTTCTTTTGTGACTTTTAGGAGAGACTCTCCCATCTGATTCATATAGAGAAATTCAGAGTGGCAGCATTCAGGCACACGGTGGGTCACTTCCTCTCAACTTAAAACTACTGTATGTTGGCTAAGTAAGTGGCTGAAGTTTCAATGGGTTTTTCCATTTATGACTTTCATAATTACCGGACTTTGAAAGTGTGTGTAGCATTCTGCATTGGTAACAGTGAAAGTGAGAGAGAATATTGCATCTTTAAGGAAGTACTGTGTGGTGTAACAGCGTTTATCTGTGTGAAAATCTTGCATGTATGTGTTTGTAACTGTTGGTGTGTGTGTGTGTGTGTGTATATATATATATATATATATATATGAGTAATTCTAAAAGCTACTTGCAGAAATTAAAGCCATACAGCCTATATTTCTCTGGGAAAATCAAATCAGGCTTTGACAACTGGCCTTTTTTTTTTTTTTTTAAAGACAACTCTTATTTTCTTATGCATTTATTTGATCACACATACAGTAAAAACAGTAATAGTTCACATCAAAAAATGACAATTCTGTCATCATTTACAGTACTCACCCTCATGTTGTTCCAAACCTATAAGTTTCTTTCTTATGTTGGAACACAAAAGAAGATATTTTGAAGAATGCTGGTAATCAAACAGTTGTTGGTCCCCATTGACTTCCAAAGTACGGAAAATAAATACTATGGAAGTCAATGGGGGCCATCAACTATTTGATTTTATGTTCAACATAAGAAAGAAACTTATACAGGTTTGGAATGACATGAGGGTGAGTAAATGATGACAGAATTTTCATTTCTGAGGTGAACTATTCCTTTATTAACATATTTTAAAATTCAATTTATTATTGTGATGACAGCTGAATTTTCAGCAGCCATTACTCTAGTTGAAAGCATGTGTGGCTTAATATTTTTGTGGAAACCGTAACTTTTTGTTAGACTTCTTTGAGTAGAACTTTCAAAAGAACACCGTTTATTTGAAATCATTGTATAGACATTTTAAATGTCTTTACTGTCTATTTTAATCCATTTTATGCATCCTTGCTGAAAAAAGGGTATTAATTTTGTTGTTTTAAATGTTTTATTTGTTCTGTTGCTGTGTGTGTGTGTAGCTCTATTCTCTGCTAGGTTTTGTGGTCAGTGCGCTGTGGATCAGCACTGTGGCGGCTGAGATTGTTAGTGTGCTGCACCTGCTGGGGGTTGTTCTCAGTCTCAGCAACACTGTACTGGGCCTCACCTTATTAGCCTGGGGCAACAGCATTGGAGGTACACACACTCACTCACAAACATTAAAAATCACAAACTGCACATTATCTTCCCATTATTTGAGCTCATAGCCAATATTCTAGAACTTGAATTGAAAGGAAAATAATTTTACAACTACTAGATTGCATGGTTTTTATTTTTGTTGGCACTGTTAAGTACTAATATAATGCGTGAAATAGTGTTTGATGGCTTTTAATATTTAAAGAGTCATACACCAATGGGATATTATACACCATTATGTTTTTACCTCTGTTAGACCATGTATAATATTTGTGTTTTCACAGATTGCTTTGCAGACATTACTATAGCCCGTCAGGGATACCCACGGATGGCCATTTCTGCCTGTTTCGGGGGCATTATCTTTAGTATCTTTTAACATATGTTTTTTAAAAAAGTTCTCCTTTTTGTGTATGTGCATTAACAAATACATCAACAGATTTAATCATATTATATATTTACAGTATTGTAAATATCCTGGTACATTACCATAACCACACTTCATATGCCTTTAACATTACATTAAGACATGCTGTTTGGTGTGGGCCTTGGCTGCCTGCTGCAAATCTTTCAGAATGAAAATAATGTTGTGATGGTATGTCTCACACTCTATATATTATATACAATGTCAATGTCATATACATATAACTGGATGGATATGCTGCCAGCTTTTAGACAGTTGAATATTCCAGTATAGATGAGTGACGGAGTCTGATCTGTGTGCTGTGTGTGTTCTGTTGTGTGGTCAGCTGGAACCAGAAGGGATGCTGTGCTGGGTTCTCTCAGGAGCACTGGGTCTGTCTCTCGTCTTCTCCTTCATACTGGTTCCTCTTCAGTGTTTTCACCTGAGCCGAGTTTATGGCATTTTTCTACTGATCTTCTACATGGTCTTTCTCATCGTTGCCCTGCTCACTGAATTTAGAATTCTCTAATTCTGACATCAGCAGAAACACTAACTGGACAGGTGCAAAACTATTTAGATGCTCATAGAAATATATAAGAAATGTATTAGAATAAATATATGTATATTTTTGTAAATGTATGTTTTTGAAGATCATGGGTAATTGCTATGCACTAGTTAAATTGTTTTCAAACATATCTTGAATTATGAGATTTAAGTGATTAAAAATGTATTTTATTAAATGGGATACTTGCAAGTATGCTGTGGTGTTGTGTGTTGTGTGTGTGTTTTAATTTTTTTTATTTAATGAATTCATGCCAAGTGCGATTCGCGAGCTGATCATTCTTTTAATTCGAATGCTGCATGTGCTGGTTGAATCGGTTCACAAAATTGAGCTGCTCTCAAGTCATGATGAAACGATAACTAATGAGTGATTTGAGAGTAAATGTGTATTCCTGTAGCTGTACTGCTAAAATATATTCACTGAATGGCAGCATTTCCTAAATGCACAGCAGCATCAGTGTGTATGCTTGTGGGTGTAGTTAAAGTAGCTGCAGTATTTACTCCAGACCATCAGGGGGCGGAGGCGCATCAGCGCTCTCTCTGAGCCCGAGAGAACGCGAGCCATCCGCGGATGTTTTTAAGTAGGCTGAGGTTACCTAGCAGTGAAATCCAATCCACGCTTACCTGTAACGGACAGTCATCTTGATCCGTTAGGTTTGTTTGTTCTTACATATAATTCCTTTGGTCGAAACAAGCGATGTCAGGCGGCTGCGGGCGGAATCCTCCTCCTTTCCCTGATGATGAAGATCAGGAGCGGGCAGAATTAGACACTCAAGTGCTGGACAGCGACGAGGATGATGAAGATGATGAAGGCGAGGACATATTCACCGGCGCGAGGGTGAGACACCTGCTTCAGAATGAATAATAATGTTTTTATTATCTGATCAAATCTTATGTGGGGAAATGTTTAACTGTCATTTGACAGAAGCTAGCTCGTAGCTTATTGGCAGTGTCTGCAGCGGTTAGTCTCATAATGCAGCTCATAACTGCGCGAACTGCAATTATGTCATTATGGTTATCAGCTGTTATCTTGGCGTCGTGTTCGTCTCTTTTTGCAGAGTAAAGCGATCACACCCACCTCAGCTCCTGATGAAGGCGATATCTTCAGTGAGGAGGGCTCGTACGTCAGGAGCGATGTCCATCACACCACTAATGGCCTTCACTCTGATGAAGAGCTGGATCTGTTCACTGGTATTTCACTCCATCGCTGCACCAGGACTCGTAATGAGCAATACATTCGCAATGACACTTGATTTGACATGCAGGCCAGATGAGAGCTGAACTGTATGTTGGAGAACATAATCATAATGCATTCAATCTTTGACTTTAAATAGCGTGGCAGGCTGAAACAGATCACTTAAACATGCTATATCGATTTTAAAAAGTACTGAAAATTGTACTTGAGTATATTAACATTGTGCTCACTTAAAATGATGTACCTAGCCAAAAAGTACTTGAGCGGAAGTAAAAATGATCCATATTTAATTGAACTTGGGTATTTAAAAGTAAGAAGTAAATACGTTTCTTTGCTTCAAATTGGCTTTTGAAAACAAGAGACAGTAAAGATGTTCTAATTTGAGTATTTTTGATGCAGAAACTTTCTAAAGAAACTGTCAAAAATAAAATTTTCTTATTATTGTTCAATGTAAGAATCTAGGGCACAGCAGATGTTAAACTGAAACCAGTATCCTGAAAGCTTTTGCATGAATGTTCTCAGCAGATGATTTTACAAACATTTGAATAGTGATTTTTAGTGGTTGTAAAAACATTGAAGTATGTGTCTGAAACGGATAGCTTGAGTACACGATTGACTGGCGTCACATTTGGATATGTAATTTTAAGAATTTGTAATGAAGTAAAATGCTATTATTTTTCAAAATGGTTGTATACGAAAGTATAATGGTGTAATGCTATTACTCAATTCACACCTCTGCTTTATTGCTCTCTCTGTTCAATCACTAGAGGCCACTGTAGAGCTGACACTCACTAACACCACCAGTCAAGGCAGGAGAGAGATTATTGGCCCGACCGTATCGGCTTGCAACACCACACATGTCCCTAATTCCATACTCAAACCCAGCATTGTCACCAAGACCATGGAGGAGGTACTCAAACAAGACCCTTCAGTTGCATTCATGTAATATTTATATAGATTCTTAATTCTAACTGAATGCTGATCAACTTCAACAGTTGAAGGAGGAAGAGAGTGGAGACCAGTTTGAACTGAACATTGCAGTCACTAATCCAGAGAAAATTGGTTTGTATTATGCAACTTAACATTTTTCACAGTGTAGGTACATAACAAGAAGAAGAATAAATTGAAGTAAACTGTGAAATGATTTGCGCTACAAGCCAGTGAGTGATTAAGATTCCTCAGCTGTGAGTCACTTTGGATAAAAAGCATCTGCTAAATGAATAAATATAAACATAATAAAATAATATGATCATGGATAACAGTTTGCAGCATCAAGTAGCATAAATAACTGATTTTTACACCTAAAATAACTAGAAGCCACTGACACATTGCCTACTTATACTTTAAAAAGGGGGATCAAAATTTTCTAGATCAGTGTTTCTCAACCAGTTGCCCACTAGGGGACCTCAGCAAACATCCAATGGAGCTTATTTTAAAAAGGGAGTTTTTTGAGATAAGTATTTGTTTTTCTTACTTTTATTTATTAAAATCTGATTAAGATTGCATTAAGAAATACAATCGATGAGTTCTTAACTTCTGAAATCAAAAAAATGAATCATAATAATTATTCTGTTGACACTCAGAAAACAAGCAGGTTTGTGTTTATTACAGCAGTATTAATAGAGAAAATATCTTAGTCTACATGTGTGGGCCTTCAAATATTTCCTTGGACATTGAGAAGCACTGGTCTAGATTCAGCCTCTTGTTCTGGATGTTGAGAGCTATAGTGACCGAATTCTTCTATGTTATTGTGTTGCAGGAGATGGCATGAATGCCTACATGTCTTACAAAGTGTCGACACAGGTACACAAAAGCGTATCCCTATTACCATTTTTGGATTGATCAAGCTACATAAATCAGCATTATGCCCCTTTTCCATGCTTCTCTCTCTATCTCCAGACTACGCTGCCCATGTTCCTTAATAAGACGTTCTCCGTACGTCGACGTTTCAGTGATTTTCTGGGACTTTATGAGAAGATATCGGCCAAACACTCTCTGCTGGGCTGCATCATTCCACCTCCACCTCAGAAGAGTGTAGTTGGTAAAGAATTTCTCATGCTCACTCTGGCTCCTTCCTTGTCTAGTGGAGTACAATAGCCTGGATCCATGAGAATGTTTACTCTGAGCTCTCTGTTGGCTCTTACTTGCATCATTTTGCTCGGAGCAGCCCGGTGTGATTTGCTGACTGAGCGTGTGGTTTGGTGTTGTGTCACAGGGATGACTAAAGTGAAGGTAGGGAAGGAGGATTCATCCTCAGCGGAGTTTGTGGAAAAGAGACGAGCAGCACTGGAGAGGTGAACACAAGCCTAATTAGACATACACATAAAATAGAGGTTCACAAATTGCATTTTTTCCTGATATTTATTTATAACTCAGGTGGGGGGAAAACCTGATTTCTGATTAAGTGGCTAATGGCATATTGAATATGATATATATTGGATATTTATAGAAAAATTTGTTTATTAGCCTGATGGGGCGTTTTCATACCCTAGAACCTTTCGGCACTAGCAATGCAAAAAGAAAATTGCTTTCATTGCTGCAGAATTTTGAGTTGTAACAGTGATTCGCATGCTAATGCACACTCATTTTATCTTTTAACTGGTTATATTTATATATATATTACATTGACTGTTTGTTTGTATTTTCTGTAGGTATCTACAGAGAGTAGTGGCTCATCCATCTCTGTTGCAGGACCCGGATGTTCGAGAGTTTTTAGAGAGAGATGAGGTGACTGCCTTTGTCATGTACCTAGACACATCATACAGTATTTTTAGTGACATATTTAATATCTAAACATATGTGTTTGTGTTTTTAGTTGCCCAGGGCAGTGAATACTCAGGCTTTGAGTGGACCTGGCCTCCTAAAGATGATAAACAGAGTGTCGGATGCAGTGAATAAGATGACCATTAAAATTAATGAATCAGATAATGTAAGAGGAGCTCAGTTCCTGCATTTCTAGGGCATAAATTCTCCCAGATCGTTGCATTTGACTAGTGATTGACACCTCTCTTTGTGTGTGTGTCAGTGGTTTGAGAGTAAGCTGCAGGAAGTGGAGAATGAGGAGCAGCTGCTGAGGAGGCTCCATGCTGCTGTCGACTCATTAGTAAACCACAGGAAAGGTGAGAACGAAAACTACACTGTGAAGCCGGTCTTTCAGATTCATACTGTTACAAACCATCTCAAAGTCTTTCTCCTCTCGTAGAGTTGTGTAGTAACACAGTGGTGTTTAGTAAGAGTGTGGCCATGCTGGGCAGTGTGGAGGAGAACTCTGCGTTATCTCGTGCGCTGTCACAGCTGGCGGAAGTGGAGGATAAGATGGAGCAGCTGCATCAGCAACAGGCCTTCAGCGATTTCTTCATCCTCGCTGAGCTCCTGGCCGACTACGTCAGACTGCTGGGGGCCGTGAGGGTTAGAGAGCACAACCACATAATGCAAAACCAACAATCGGAGCCCACTGCATAAGTAATACGATGTTGTTTTCTGTGTTCTTTGCTGTCCTCAGTGCTGTTTTGAGCAGAGGATGAAAGTGTGGCAGCGTTTGCAGGAGGCTCAGAGCACATTGCAGAAGAAACGGGAGGCTGAGGCCAAACTGCTTTGGGCGAACAAACCCGAGAAGCTGCAGCAGGCTAAAGATGACATAAATGAGGTTCAGTTATCAACAGCGAATGATTTATGCACGACGCGCTTCAAGTACTGTACATTAGACCAACATGTAACATCCTTGTAGGGGAGCTCTGTTAAATTACAATATGATTTGTCACTATTTTGCTGTTAACATGGAGCTGTTTTCTGTGTCTCTGCACAGTGGGAGTCTAAAGTCAGTCAGTATGAGAGAGATTTCGAAAGAGTCACCTGTACTGTGCGCAAAGAAGTGCTCAGATTTGAGGTAAGATATGTTGATGTTGTGTATAGATGTATTTTGGTAGAAATGCAGCACAAAACATCACAAGTGCAACAAAACCTTATTTGTACGGTAGTTGTTTCTCATAGGAACATCTATTAAAAAGTTTTCATGGCTTCTCAGTGATAAAATAAATAGATACAGATTCATTCGTGGTGGAGGAGCTCTGTGATCCTACTAACCCAGAAATGCACTTCTGACATGGTCAGTCACATGTTCAGCATGATGATGAAGATATAGAATGTCATAAACGAGATCTAGAATACCCAAGACGTGTCACTCGTTTAGTTTTGAATGGAGAAAAACGCAAAGCTCAATATGGCTGCTCTATCAAATGAAGCCCCGCCTTCTGAGTAAAAGAGCCAGTCCCTAATCGGTAAAGTCAGCTGCCGTTAGAAGTCCTGATTGCTATTGAAACAATTAGCGTTCTGAGAATGCGCTTAGGACTGCGCATGTGCACTGGCTGGTCTAGCCTGAAAAATACGCTTTTTTTAAACGCTATTTGAGCAAAATAAACCACATTTATGATACAGTTGTTTTCAGATTTCATTGGTGATTTCAAATATGAAATTTAGTCGTAAGCTTGGCAAACAGTTTTGGAGAGTTTGATGTTTCCCCATTCAAAGAGATAAGAGCTGCACTTGCATGCCCGTGAGGCGTTTCAAAGATGGCTGCTGAGTGACATGACTTGCCTTAAAGGGACTTTGTGATTAATGTTTTTGTCCTGGAAATGTCCTGCTTATTATTTGTCATTTAAATATTCTATTTAAAGGGATAGTTCACCTAAAAATGAAAATTCAGTTATAAATTACTCGCCCTCATGTCTTTCAAACCTGTAATTAGGGATATGCCGGTATCAAATTTTCATGTTGCGATTAATTGCTAATGCTTTTATCACGGTATACGGTATTATCACGATATTGAAATTTAGTTTTAAAAAAGTGCTGTCATAATACAGTATAACAGGTTTAATAACTTTTTTTCTTATAACAGAAATAACTGAACATTTAAATGCAATAAAGCAATACAGAAAAA